CTAGGGAGATATTCCGGGTGCCCGGGTCCCGACGTCACGCCCGGTTTGGCGACCGGGTGACCGCCCGGGCATGGGCCCGGGCAGCCCCAGCGCACAAAAAAAAAAAGAAAAAAAAAACTCCAAAAAAATCTGAAAAAAAACTATGTTGTGTAGAATTGCAATACAAACAACTACGTGGTGCTTCATTTGCTTTGGACTTCGGTCTTTTTCGACGTTTTACGCGACATGGGATAATGCTGTTTAGGGTTTGTTTAATTTTGTTTCAGATTAGACTTGTTAAATGGAGGGATGATAGTTCCGGGATTATGACGATTACGGTTTGTTTTAGGGTTTGACTGATGATGTCTCCCCCTTAAATGGCCACTGAACTGATGTAAGGGATGATGGGCCCGTTTCTTGGCTTAAAAAAAACAAAAAAACAAAAAAACAAAAAAACAAAAAAACAAAAAAACAAAGAAAACAACAACAACAACAACGAAAGAAATCACACTAAGGCACCCCTCTTTAAACCCCATTAGCCCCTTTAAAATTCATTTATACTCCCCTCAACCCCCCTTAACAGCCAACTCTCAAAAAATGAAAAGAACCTGGATTTGGGCTCCTCTTGAAGAGCGCGGCAAAACTCCACCGGCAAATTTTTTAATTTTTGGTTTTAGTCCTTTCCCCATGCCCGGGTATCCCGGGCGTCAGACCCCCCCGGGCGTGACGGGCGTCATTCTAGTGGCAGTGTATATTTCCATGTTCTGGTTGAAGATTCGTTCCGATTTTGCTCATCCTCCACACACACACACACAAACCGACATTGCCATGCTTCACCAAATGAACAAAATGGGATTGAATCTTCCCCTAGAACATGGAATTATCCACTGCCACAGCATGGAAATATACACTGCCAAAGACCGAAAACGTGGCCGTGTATATTTTGATGTTCTAGCGACAGATTCAATCCCATCATCCTATGGATGGAAAACTCTCTGCGTGCGCGCGCACGGCGACATTTACATCTGACAACTCCTTAGTCCACACACACACCGGGATTTCTTTTCAATGTATCTGTCAGTCGCGGTGTATCTTCCTATGTTCTTGTGGAAGATTCCTTCTCATTTTGCACAGTGGTAGGTTGCTCAGTTGATGCACACATGAAACTGTTGAATTGCAAAGGTGAGTTCAAATCCAGCAGCGACCAGAATAAAATAGTTATAATTTACAAAGCATCCGACGGATGAGAGGGGGAGGAGGAGGTCCGAAGACGATGAGCGAGGGGGAAGAGCACGCCGTCCAAGGACAGGGAGGAGGTCACGCGAGAGGGAGGAGAGGTCGCACAACGGGGAGGAGGTCCGAGGCGGGGGAGTAGGTCGTGCAAGGGGGAGGAGGAAGTCATGGGAGGGCCAGGAGCAGGTCGCACCGGTGCGGGAGGGAACGAGAGGTTGCAGGAGGTCGTGCGGGAGGGGGGAGGAGAAGGTCGCACTGGTGGGAGGAGGCGGTCACACTGGTGGGAGGGGGTGGTCGCACTGGTGGGAGGGGGTGGTCGCACTGGTGGGAGGAGGAGTTTGTGCGAGCGGGGAGGGGGCCGCGAGGGAGGACGAGGAGGATGCGAGGTCGCACAAGGGGGACGAGGTGTAGTGTGTGTGTGTGTGTGTGTGTGTGT